CATCGGAAATCTAAGAGGCCCCAGTAGACCGGTCCGTGGGGACTGAAGGCAGGAGCCAGTCTGAGATTTCAGAAGCCCCCTCCCCCATAGGTCTGACCCTGCTTCAGTCGGCCCTGGGGGCACAGACCTGGTGGAGGGCCCCCACCCGGCTCAGCTGCGCGTGTTATGTGTGGAGACGTGGGAGAGCAGCCCCCACACAGCTGCGTAAATGCCTCCAGGCTACGCGTGTCCCGCCGCAGAATGACTCCAGCACCCGCCAAGCCTGCGTGGGACAGATCCGCACGGCACGTGACAGAGCGAGTCCCCGATCCCGCGCCGATGCTCCTGGCCAGGATGTGAACCCCAGTCCTTCCACCCCCCGCAGGAGGGAAGCCCATCCTTGCGGGCAGTGCCTACACACCCTGGCCAGTGGGGCGCCGCTCGGGAGGCGGAGGGTGCACCGAGCCAGGCCCTGGGGTGCGGTGGTTCCCAGGCTCGGTGCCTCAGATCAGCGTCTGCTCGCTCCTCCATCATGGGACCAGAACGGCCGCTCGGTGGCGGCTGTGCACAGAAGGGGCCACACGGGCTAGCAGGTGCGCGGAAAATGGCCGGCCTGGCTCTTCCCGGGCTCCCCCGCCTCGCCTTACGGTCTTGGCTGTCTCATAACTTCTCTGGGCCTTGGCTTCCCGAACTGTAAATGGGAATAACAGTCCACGCCTGCTGATGTGACCGTGGAGCCATGCGGATAAAGGGAAATGAAGGGCGTAAAAGGACTGACGAATTTAAAACATCATATACCTGGAGGTAACATCACAGCTTTTAGGATACAAGAAATGTGTGATGCACTTAATGAGCTTAACTGTAGTATCAAGCAGAGCCAGGCCGGAGGCTGAGGCTGCGACTGGAGGCTGAGGCTGAGGCTGGAGGCTGAGGCTGAGGCTGAGGCTGAGGCTGAGGCTGGAGGCTGAGGCTGAGGCCGGCTAGAGCTCGTGGGCTGCCTGCACTTTTGCAGACACTTCTCGCCCACATGCCCAGCAAAGAGCATGAAAACCTGGGATCCCAGTGGCCCAGGCACATCCACTGCGGGTCAGTCAGTGAAACTCTAACTCCTGTTCTTCAGAGAAAATGAGAAAAACAGACAGAAGAAAAGGGCAGTCCTCCGGTGGCCGAGCAGAGCCTCCAGCCAGCTCGCGCTGCCGGAGGTGCAAGTCCGGCAAAGCCTCCCGAGGCTCCGTGGGCACTGCTCTGCTCCTGCTGGCCATGGGACATGTGACCCCCACCCCAGGTGGGGCGAGAGAAGGAGGGGGAACCCCTCAGGGAGCGGAAGGGCTCTTCTCTAAGGGCATGATGTCTCCTGGGGAGTCTGTGGCTTCTACCCGGTTCAGGTCCACGTAGGAGCCGATTTCTGCACAGGACAGATCCCCAGAAGGACAGGGAGTTTTGCAGATACTGAAGGAGAGGTCTGGAATTTGCCCAGAGCGACCCCCAGCATTCCGAGGCGGCTGGGCTGCTGGGATCCATGCAGGACAGGGGGCATGCACACACACAAACACCCCACGTCCTACCACGCCACACGACACATACACCGTGCACACACCACACACACCACTTGTATGTATCACATGTGCATACACCGCTGACTGTCCGAACGCCTCCACCTGTCCCCTGGCTCCTGGTGGAAGAGAACCCAGGCCTGGCTGGGCAGAGGTGGGGGTTGCTGCCAAGACAAAGACCTTTCCAACACATCAGTGCATGGAGGGCTAGGATTTCACCCTGGGAATGTTCTTATCTTAGAGAAAATAGCATGGGCCGTGTTTACCATTCATTCACTCATTCATCCCATGGCTATCTTGACCCTCACTAAACCTGCACAGATTCCTTATGCACCAGGACCCAAAGGCTGTAAAAAGGGAGCCACTGTGGGCCCGACACAATGAAGAACACGCTGGAGCCTCTGCTGGGGCAGGTGGGGCCAGGCCTCCAGAGCTGCCATCTGGGAAACCATTTTCCCAGCGGAGAAGGGTTAAAAGTGGCATTTGAGGAGGAGTCCCCAGTGTTCGCAGAGGTGTGGGTGAAAGCGTGAGATAGCACAGTGTGGCTGCAGAAATGCTGGCTCAGGGCACATGGCTGAGGGGTGGGCAGGGCTAGCCTCGGGACTTTATCCTGGGGGTGCTGGGAGAACGCCACCAGCAAGTACCCAGCCCCCGCTACACAGCCCTGGGCCTGTTACCTCTTGAGGCACCTTTATGAGCAATGACTGGGCCAGCAATATAACAGTACTGAGCTGTACAGGGCAATATGGAACAAATGGATAGATTAACAAATGTAGGGTGTGAGGAGGAGGGGCAGCTAGGGGACAGAAGAAAAAATACCATCAAATCCTAGGCATTCAGACTCATTAGTCAAAGGGTAGTTCAAATGTGTCAAGTCCAAGTCAAAAAAAAAAAATACCTAAAAAGGTGCCTCTGAATTCTTTCTCAGGTAAAGGGTAAGGGCTGGACGGGCAGCTCTGTGAGGTAGATGAGTAGGCACGTGTAGTGAGGAGAGAAGTTAGCGGCTATTAGCACAGCTGTCATTCCCAACCTCAGAACAGAGTGGGGGCCCCGGGAAGTCCTGTGCCTCAAAGGGCTGCTTTCTTCACCTGTGAATGATGACTTCGGACTAGTGAACCCCGAAGCATGTATGAGCCCCGTGGAGGCTTCTACGGCACCTGACAAGTCCACTCGCTTGGCTGGAATGTATGTCCCTCTCGCCAGGATCTTTTTTTTTTTTTTTAAAGATTTGATTTATATATTTGAGAGATAGAGGGAGAGAGGGAGAGGGAGAAGCAGAATCCCCGCTGAGCAGAGAGCCCACGTGGGGCTCGATCCCAGGCCCCTGGGATCATGACCTGAGCTGAAGGCAGACGCTTAACCGACTGAGCCACCTGGGCGCCCCGCCCCAGGATCCATCCGCAGACCCATTCGCTTAGCTCTTCTCCCAGTAGATGGTAGAAAGCTAAATTTCTGCCAGGCTCCTGCTTGAGTGACGCCTCAATTCACAACTCATGGGCCCCAAACGAACCGCTACCCAACTTTGAATTCACGTGCCCCAAATGAATGAGGTCTGGCCACATTCTAAGTAAGATACCTCGGATAGAAACTCGTCTGTAAGAAATGTCGTTACAGATACCAGATTTCAAAGATTTTTTCAAGACACTCCTGGCCCCCTGGGGGTTTGTGGGCACCGACAAGTGGCTCTGTCCCCAGGAAAGTCCACTCCACGAGGTGCTGCCCATGGCAGAGCTCCTGGGGGCCCGGCTGCCGCCAAAGGCCGGTGTGTAGCTTGCTCATGGCTCAGCTCCCTAATCCAGAATTTTTTTTTTTTTAAACTTGGAAGGAAACTTCCAGTGAATCATCTCATATGCTATTTGATTCATGTTTAATGTCTTTGGGAAGAAATAAAAACAGTAAGTCATTCTCAACACAAACGGCATCAGCCTGGCTAAAATGCTAGGCGCGCGAACGGGGGTGCGCCATCTGCCCTCGGACACCACAGCAACTGCGGTCCTAACTTGTCATTAGGGAGCATGTTTACAATCCAGACGGCAGACAGCTCATAAAAGCTGCCCTTTGCCCTTTTTACTCTTTAAATCACAACACCAGAAGCCACAGATTCCGCAGGGAGAGCGGAGACCGATGCGCAAACTCGCGCACAGACAGTGTCGATCCACACGCGTTAACTGAGCTTGTACCGAGTGAAAACCAGCGCGCTAAGTGCTTGGGGACACACAGAAGGACGGGAGGCTCTCGGACTGCTTGCAGTCCAGGTGGGGAATCAAGGCATGAATCCCTTCCTTCTTCTCTACGCCGAGGGAGCGCCTCTGCTAACCAGGCGCCCAGCTCCAGGGCTGGTGGCATAAGGCGGAGCAAAGGAAGGCGGCGTTCCAGGAGGAACAGACAGACTAGCTTTCGGGCTGGGGCCCACGTCCTTTCCTGACTTTTTCCCCCAAGGACACAGAGCTGAGTCCCGTTCACCCAGAGCACGGCTGGGAGTAAGCCTGTAACCAATTAGCACCGTGCCTGAAACACGGGAAGGCTGCAGTACGTGGCACTTGGTAAGAAGAAGGAAGTGAGGGAGGGAGGGAGGAAAGGTGGGGCTGACGACCCCCAGCTCCTCTGTAGGCCCAGCCCTCGCACAGTAAACTTGACCCGGCCCCGCGGAGCCCCTCTTGCGGGCGCTCCAGGTCTCTGAATTTCCTACCCAAGACTTTCCGACCCGGACAGTCTTGAACTTCAGGGAAAGAGCCAGTCTCCTGGAGACCCGAGGAGGTCCCAGGGGCAGCCACCAGAGCAAACCTTTGCTGAAGTATGCTCCCAAGGGAGGACTTTTTAGCCACAAACCTGCATATACGGTCTGATAGGCCCAAGAAGAGTCAAGAGGTCCACAGGACAGAAAACGTGAAATCCGGGCTGACCCGGAAATCTGGGCTTTGGGAAGTGAGAAGGATCGGTGCGGGCCACCCGGAGGGGCCTGCGTCATGGCGGGGGAGGGTCTGCGTGGACGCAGACCCGAGAGGGGGCCCCGGCCCAGGCGCCAGCGAGCAGCAAGATCTTGGGGTTGATCATTCATTCATTCATTCATTCACTCGTTGGATGCAGAGGCTCCCTCTGTGTCCCGCCCTTTCGGCGCCAAGCAAGGGCTGACTGGCAGTTAAAGCACCCTTCCTCCCCAACATGATGCAGAAACCTACCCAGAGTGGAAGCTCAGGGATGCTGAGGGCAGTGATCCCCTTGCCTGGGGCTGGCAGTCCTGATTCGGGCCAGGACAACAGTCCTTCCATGGATTCCCCAGCAGGTGAGATGCCAAGCCGAGCCGTGCGTGCCCATGGTGCACGTGCACGTGTGTGTGTATATGTGTGTGCACGTCCAACACTGCACGCTGCCCACAATGCTTGCCATGCAGGATCTGCCCCTGTGGTTGAGGCTTAAAGGAGACACCCACAGGAAGCGATATTGCAAAGTCATCCCAAGTCACTATTAAAAATAACCCTCCACTTACAACACAGGAAGGATTTCCCCTTTCCAACGCCCTGCCTCAAAACTGGCGCCGTTTCTACTTTGCAGGCCACTTCAGAGTGGCCCGTGGATGGCTCACTGGGACCTGCAGACGAACAACACTTCCGCGGGCTGCAAGCCCGGCAGCCAGAGGAAAGGTTAGTCTGGCGTCATGCTCTCCTATTCCACCCAATCTCCATGCCCCTGTTCACCTACCATCTCCCAGCAGAACTGTGGCTAGACAAATCTCTGTGAGCAACAATTATGAGATTTCTGAGGAGGGGGTCACTATTTAAAGGACGGAGGAGGTGCCCTGTACAGTTTGATTTTGGCAGCACTGAGATACCGTGGTATCACCCATATTCCTCATCGGGTTAGCGTTGCAGGTGTCCTGCCCCTGTATATGACCTACACCCCCTCCCATCCCACCTGCCTGGCCATCTATTCCTGCACCTGCCCCCCGCCCCCGCAGTGACACTGATCTTCTTGCTGCTCCTTAATGACTCGGGCGTATGTCTGCCACAAGCCCTTTGCACTGGCTGTTCCTCAGATATAAAATTGCTCCCTCCCCTCCTTCAGGTCTTTCTCCAACACGCTTCCCAGCGAGGCCTTCCCCAGTACGATATCCAAGCTGAAACCCCAACCCACATTCTTTCTTCTCCTGTCCTACTTGAGTTTTTCTCTATATTTTATTGAGTTCATTGTCTCTCTCCCCCCAGAACTAGAATGCAAGGTCCCCGGGGCCAGGCTTTATTCTGGTTTGTTCTCTACTGGAAGCCCAGAGCCTAGACGCTTCCTGGCACAGAGTGTGTGATCAATAAGTATCCGTTAAGTAAACAAACGCAGGGTTGCTGCGGGGAAGGCTGGAACCCATGGCCTCACACACAGGTGCTTCTCCTCCAGTACCTGGGAGCAAAGAGAAGGCGTCCTCCCATTTGCCATCACCTGACCTAGGACATCCACGGCTAAGGATATTGATGTGCCAGAAGTATCATCTGACTCCCAGAGTTCCTCATCTCTTGGTGCTGGGGGGAGGGGTGGGGGTTAGCAGGCATTGGCTGTGGGCATTGGAACCCTGGGCTGGGAAGAGACACTCCTCGGCCCCCCTTTGGGCCCCTGTGCCTGCTCCAGCATCCTGACATCTAGCTACGAGCCTCAGCAGGACCTACCTGGCCAGGAGCCTCCCCCAACCCCAACCCCGCCTCTAGTTGGGATGTGTATACCGGTATACCTCGGTTTTATTGTGCTTTGCTTTCTTACACCTCGCAGATAACGCTTTTTCTTCTAAAGATTTTATTTATTTATTTGTCAGAGAGAGAAGGAGCACAAGCGGGGGGGGGGGGCAGCAGGCAGAGGGAGGAGACTCCCCACTGAGCAAGGAGCCCGATGTGGGGCTCTGGGATCGTGACCTGAGCCCAAGGCAGACGCTTAACTGACTGAGCCTCCCAAGTGTTCCATGGATAATGCATGTTTTACAAACCGAAGGTTTGTGGCAACTGTGCATCAAGTAAGCCTATCAGCGGCATGGCCCAAGAGCATTTGCTGACTTCGTGTCTCTGTGTCACAATTTGGTAATTATTGCAATTATTTCAAACAACTTCATTATGATTATATTTGTTACAGTGGATGCTCTGATCAGGGATGACCAATCTCTGAAAGCCCAGATGACGATTAGCATTTTTTAGCAATGAAGTATTTTTAAATGAAGGTACGTGCATTGTTTTTTGTTTTTTTTTTTTTTAGACATAATGCTATTTCACACTTAAGAGACTACAGTATAGTATAAACATAACTTTTATATGCCCTGGGAAGCCAAAACATTCACTGACTCCCTTTACTGGGATATTCGCCTTATGGCTGTGGTCCGTAATGGAGGCTACAGCGTCCCTGAGGTGTGCCTGCACGCAGACGAGGTCCGGGTAACACACAGCCCCATTTTCTCATCTCCCAGCTCCCAAAGAGCTGGCGGAAGGAGATCGAACTAGTAGTGAAAGCCGCACTTTCCGCGCTCATCTATCCCCTGAGGCAGAGGCAACCCCAGGAGCGTTTTCACAAAGGTGAAGAGGACAGATCAGGAAGGACATCCAAACAAGAGATGGGGGGACCCCCCATACCCAAGGGATGCAGGCTTCCTGGGGGGGCAGGGAGCAGGGGGACGTGCTGTGCTATCTGGGGGCTCTGCCGGGAGTCTGTTGGTCTGACCTGCCTGCACACACTCACATCTGCTGAGGGTATTCACACGAAACCAGCAGCTTGGCCTCTGCCCTCCCCAGGCTTGCAGCCCCCTCAGCCTCCTCAGACCCCCTCAGGGCTATAGTGCTGGGCACCCAGCAACCCTAGGGTGGTTTATTAAGGTGGAAATTAAGGCAGGTTTGGGGTGCAAATCGTAGCCTCTCAGCTGAGACTTAAAGGTGATTCCTTCTGGGTGGAAGGTGAGAATTGCATGCTTGGAAGGCCTAGAAAAGTCCAGACTTTCTGCGAGGGCTCTGAGGCGGGCTCTCCTGGGCTGGGCCTGACCCTGAAGGGCTGAGCCCCCAGGGCCCATTCCCTGATGCTGCCTCAACCCACCCGGTGGCCATTGGCCACAGACCCCACACCCCTGGCCTCGACTGGGGCTCACAGTACTGGGGTGGGCCAGGCAGAGCAGGGCAGGGCCGATGGCTAATGGCAGTCACTGTAATAATTACCAGAAGCCGGGCAGGAGGAGGAAGAAGGGCTGTAGGGCAGCTGAGGCTTCCCCACACCTCTACTCTTGCAACCACCCCAAGGGGGAGGCGTGACTGACCCTCTTACAGATGAGGCGGGGAGGCTGTTAAGTGGGCCCAGCGGGATCCAGACTGCACAAACCCAAGGGCAGAGGCCTTTCTCCCACTCACCACCTCCTTCCTCACCCGGGCACAGAGCCAAACCCTGAGCTCGGCAGGAGCGACAGACAGCACAACAGAGGCGGGCCGGGTCCTGGGCCCCCCAGGGGGGGCTTGTTCAGTGCTCAGTCAGCACTTCCTGGTGGGGGAGCCACCTGGTGGCAAGAGAGCCCTACGCAGTGCCTCTAGAGGACAGGCAATGGGCTCAGCCCCGGGGTCACGAAGGCTTTGAGAAAGGACGCCACCCCTGAGCTCAGCTGTACGGGATGGCCAAGAAAGGGGACGGTGGTCTAAGCAGAGCCACCACTGAGCAAAGGCCTGGGGGCTGGATGGCGCTTTCGAACACTGCGGGTCCTCTGCTATCATTAGAGCTTCCCCGGAACCCAAAGCAGGCAGGGGTTTGAGACGGGGCCAGGAGGGTGCTGGATTCAAACAGACCAAGGGCTGGTAGGTCATGTTGATTTCCGTGGACTTGAGCCCTTCCCTGAGAGGAAAGCAGCCAGCTCCAGGTTTGGGGGCCAGGCCTGGTGAGGGCCTTGCCACGCTGGAGGGCAGGAGGGGCATGGGGCTGAGTGAGAAAGGGCTGCCAGTCTCTAGGGGAGGCAGGAAGGACAGCAAAGCGGAGGGGCTGGGAGAAGTCCCGAGGGGCCAGAGAAAAGTCTGGGAGGACAGGGGTAGGGCCAGAGAAGAGGGCGTTTGAACCCGAGGTTTCCGAGGCCCCAGCGAGGCCTGGGGGAGAAGGGAGGTGGGGGTGGGGAGGCTCAGCCCTGGGGCCCTGGGAAGGGAGCTCTTCCTCCCTGTGGGTAGGAGGTGGGCAGGGCCTGGGAGATAGAAGCTTCCAGGAATGCTCTAATTCCCAAGTCAAAGCATCCCAGGCCAAATGACCTCCCAGAAAGACCTGCCCGGCTTCTGGCGAGAACCGAGATGATCATGGGACCTGGGTGGGTTCTTTGCATCCCAGAGTCTCAGTTTCCCCGACCACTTCATGGGTGTGCCAGGCAGGCCGTCCCCAACTCCTGGTCTCTTCCCACTGAGCTGGGTGAAATCCCCACACGCCAGCCACAGGCAGGACCCCACAGAGTGGCAGAACCCCCACCCCACCCACAGGTCCTCCCCTGCTTCCAGGCCCCTCTGACCTCCCAAAGTGACTTACCCGAGGCCAAGAGGAGGTGGAGGCAGTCAGGACTAGAAGCTCCGGGGGCGGGTTCCACAACCTTGTGGGGGCTGCTAGACCATGCCCTGGGAGAGAGGAACAACAGGTCACTTAGGGTGCGTACACCCCCGGCCCAGAGCCCACTGCCTTTCTGGTTGCTTCTGTGTGCCTATTGGGGGGACCACAGCTTTTGTGAGCCCCACACGGAGTACAGGAAAGCCCTGGCTCCTGGGCCCAGTCCAGCCACAGAGCATAGGGACCTGCTGCCCCGGGAGGGAGGAAAGCCCGCCGCAGTACTGATGAGAGAGGTCTCCCGGGGAGACCCAGGCCTCCCCGTGGGTGAGGGCACCAGCTATCATATGCTGGAGCAAAAGCCACGCCAGGCCGGTGGCCTCTCGCCTCTGCAGTCTGCACACCCAGGGCTTGGGCGGTGGCATCACTGAGTCACCGTCGTCTGTCCCAACGCTCTGACCCACAGGGTCACCATATAGTCCCCGGGATTGTGAACACCACGACCTGGCACAGGACGGGCTCACAGGGGCTCCTGCAGCCAAGCTCCCACCCCTGCACGCAGAAACGGCCAGAAGGCATCACCAACCTCAAGCCCACGGCTCACAGTCATACGGTCGGTCACCATGAGAAGAGAAGACCACACGTCGGGTGCCCCGACCACTCCCCCACCCCACCTTCAACCGTCACGCCGCCAGTTTCGGGCACATTCCACACACCCTGCCTGCATGGCTGGCGGATGGCTGACCTCCTTTACCCCTTTCTGTGAGCGGGCTGCACCCTGTACGTGGTGTGTAGTTAAAACATTCTCAGGGGTACCGTCCCTAGGCTGCCGGGCGCTGTGCTAAGGGCTTTCTGTGCATTTATTCGCACTAGCCAATTCAATCCTCCCATCAACCTTATGTGGTAGGCATAATGACTAACCCTGGTTTCCAGGTGGGGAAACTGAGGCTTAGGAAAGCTAACTACTCACACAACGGCATGTGTTTTCCAAGTGGCAGAGCCAGAAGGGAGCCCAGATCACACCCCGGGGTACCCGCCTTCCCCTCTGGCTGGCTCCTCCTCAACCCCCAGCCCCCCATCATGCGTCTCTTCACCCGAGACCCCGTTTTTCTTCCTAAACACACTTCCCAGCTACTGCCTCCTAATGTGGGTTATCTCCTGCAATGATCACGGTTTATACACACTCACTGGAATGGTCCTGAGGACGGGAGCCAAGAAGCTCATTCACCCCAGAAAATATGGCCCCCGGACTGTATCTCCTCCAACTGACTCTGAGCTCTGGGAGGGCGGGGGAGGGGGGGCACAGTCTCTGCTCCTGTGCGGCTGGTACGCAACGGCACTCACTAAGTAATCAATGGTGGACAAATGAAGGCCCCCAAAGGCATCGCACGGACGTTCCCGGAAGCAGAGTGCACTTGGCTCCAGAATTAAAATTCTATCCCGTTTCACCAATATGGAACTTCTATGACAATTACATTATTTAAACTCACTGCTGGGATCTAAGACCTCGAAAGAAAAGCCGTATATCTTCCCACCAAAATTCTCACTGGAAGGTCACTGAGCTTTTAGACAGCACTGTACACACACACACACACACACGTGTGTCTACAGACACACATATATATGTATATACGGATATTTAAGATATTTTATGTATATATTTTATTTCATTATATAATGTATATTTTTAAAAAATAGACTTTTTTAAGATTTTATTTATTCATTTAAGAGAGAGAGAGAGAGAGACAGAGCACAAGCAGGGGGAGAGGCAGAGGGAGAGGGAGAAGCAGGCTCCCCACTGAGCAGGGAGCCCGATGTGGGGCTCGATGCCAGGACCTGGAGATCGTGACCCGAGCTGAAGGCAGATGCCCAACCATCTGAGCCACCCAGGTGCCCCTAGACTTTATTTTGAGAGCAGTTTAATACTCACAGCACACTTGAGCAACCTTCCCCATGATCAACCAAAGACAGTGGCACATTTATTACAGTTGCTGAACCTACATCGACACACATCATCACACCAAATCCATAGTTTGCATTAAGGCTCACTCTTGGTGGTGTACCTTCTGTGCGTCTGGACAAGTGTATGATGATGTATGTCCACCGTGACAGTATCATACAGAGAAGTTTTACTGCCCTAAAAGTCCTCTGCACTCCCCTTGTCCCATATTTTTTAAAGGCACTTTAAGTCCATGATCTTAGCTAAGCCATCTCGCAGCTCCGTAAGCCCTCCTTTGACACTCAGGGAAATCAGGCCCAGATAGGGTCAAGGGCCCTCCCCAAGGTCACCTTTGCAAAACCCAATAACAGAGCCAGCAGCAGAATGTGCTAGACGCCCGTGTCCAGTGGTAATTTTATCATCCTATCCTTTTAACAGTCCTGGCAGAGAAAGCCCATCCTAACCCCCAGTTTACAGAGAGGCAAACATACTTGGGGACACTTGCCATGGTCAGACATGGCTAAGTGGGATGCCAAAAAATGCAAATTCCTCAACCCATGCCTGCTCTCTCCATCAATCACAGGAGCTTCCAGGAGGCTGGGGGAATGCAGTGAGCAAGCACCCCCCTTGGGTCAGGGGGGCTCTGACCCAGAGCAGGTGCTCCCCCATTCCTCTCAGGGAGACCCTCCCCTCCAGGACCCACTCAGCCACCACACTGCATGATTCATGCCGCTGGACCGCGCTTGGGTGAAGGTCAGTTGGCTGCCCACTACAAAGGCCCTACCACTTCCAGCCTCCCGGGGGCAGCCCTCAACAATCAACGTGTTCAGCGACCAGCTCAGGGCCCTGAGTGCCAGGTGAGAACGTTTCCAGTCCACACAGACACCTTCCTCCACAGCTCTTCCTGTCCCACTGAGACACACACCAGCTCGTATGGGGCAAGTACTGGGTGGTAGGAGAGCAGACCTGGTGTGCCCCTGTCGCCAAGTGGCCCTGTGACTTGGACACGCCCTGTCATCTCTGTCATTCTCTTCCCCCATCCTTGACAAAGCCTGCGGGCTGCATCCCCTCCGAGACGGGGCCGGCTCTGCCATCAGGCTTCCTCGCCGAAGGAGGGTCCATCATTCCAGAGGCCTTGGAGGCTCTGGCTCCCCAGCTGCTTGGGGACACTCCATTAACTCAAATTGCACATTTCCTCCTGGCTCTATCGCTGAGCCACAGGGGCTCCCCAGCCACTAGCCTTTCTGTGACAGATAAAGATTACAGTCATTGCTCAAGACTGAATCAAGCAGCAGAAGTCATTATGCAGAAATAATTATGTTGAGTTATGTCTGGTGGCTCCTGATTTCTGTCTAGCAATTGTCTTGCAAATGGTCTGCCTCCTTCCTCTCCAGAAGAGCTAACGGCGGAGGCCTGGTGATTCAAACAGACATACGGGGCGCAACCCCACTGCTCCAAACCCCTGCCGGTGGGGAGAGGGCATCAGCACCCTACGGGAAGGTTCTCTGTGAGGCTCTTTTGCTAAGCACTTGGGAGAGACGAGACAAGGAAGACAAAAGCCCCGGAAGGGGCTCACTCACAGCTCAGCGACATGCACCCCTGTACTGGACCCTCCTTCAAAGCTTGCTTCACACATCACTTGCTCCATGGGGCCCTTCCTGACACTCCAACTTCCCCAGCCCCTTGCTCATGTCGGGCATAAGATACCCCTTTCTCTTAGGTTTGGGGTCTCTGGGGAGTGACTTGGGCAATGACCAGGTCTGACCTAGTCTTGTGCTAGCACAAAGCAGGGCCTCAGGAGAACAGGGAGGACAGCAGACAGGGCTGTGTGGCCAGACTGCCGAGGCTCAAATCCTCGCTCTACTACTGCCTGGCTGTGTCGCTCTGACCCATTGTTCAACTTCTCTCCGCCTTAGTGTCTAGGTATGTAAAATGGACACGATAACTGTCCTACCTAGTGCATCAAGTTCTTGTAAAAACTATATGAGCTAATGCACAAAAAGGTGCTTGGCACACAGGAAGAGCTCAGTGAATGTCAACAATGACTGAAAGAGCAGAAAAAACATGCTTATAAGAATCTAAGACAGTAGAAAGGCACAAACTACCAAACCTTACTCAAGAAAAATATCCAATCTGAAATAAAGAAGGAGGCGGTCTGAAATGCCTATAACAAGGCAACAGATAGAATTAGCAAGCAAAATATTACTCATACACAAAAAGGCCCAGACCCAGATGGCTTCACTGCTGAATTCTACAAACATCTGAAGAATCAATACCAATTTTCATAAATTCTTCCCAAAAAAATGGAAGAGAAGGGAACACTTCCCAACTTGTCTTAAGGCCAGTACTACCCTGATATCAAAACCAGAGAGACTTCAGAGAGAATATATAGACTAGTGTCATTATAATGGACACGGACGCAAAAACAAACAAACAAAAAATCAACAAAGTACTAGCATACCAAATCCAGCAACATAAAGAATAGAAAGAATTACACACCATGACCAAGTGGGATTTATCTCAGGAATGCAAGGTTGGTTTACCATCCGAAAATCCATTCATGTAGGATATCATATCAATAAAAATAAAAAGCAAAAATCACATGCTTATCTCAACTGAGGCAGAAAAAGTACTTGACAAAATCCAACACTTTCATAAAAAAAAAAAAACACTAAATAATCTAGGAGTAGAAGGGAATTTTTTCAACCTGACAAAGCTAACATCCTACTTAATGGTGAAAGACTAGATGCTTTCTACCTCAGATGAGGAATGAGACAGGATGCCTGCTCTCACCACTTCTATTCAACAACATACTAGAGGTTCTAACCAGGCCAATAAGGCAAGAAAAAGAAGTACAGGATTAGAAAAGAAGAAGTAAACTGATCTCTATTTGCAGATAACATTATCTTATACATAGAAAATTCTAAAGATTCCACTAAAAAAAAAAAAAACTAACAGTTCAGCAAGGTTGTGAGATATAAGACCAATATACAAAGATCAACTGTATCTCTATATACTTGCAATGAAAAATCCAAAAATGAAATTGAGAAAACAATTCCATTAGCAATAGCATCAAAAAGAATAGAATAGGAATGGATTTCACAGAAGAAGTGCAAAACTTATACTTTGAAAACTTATAAACTATTGTTGGAAAAAAAATCTAAATAATTGGGAAACTATCCCATGTTCATGAATCAGAAGACTTAACGTTATTAAGAAGGCAATACACCCCAAATTAATCTACAGATTCAATACGTTCCCCTATCAAATCCCAGCTTACTTCTTTGCAGGAATTGACAAGATTCTAAATTTTATATGGAATTGCAAGGACCCAGGACAGCCAGAACAAATCCCGCAGAAGCAGAACAATATAGGACTCACATGCCTCAATTTCAAAACTTACTACAAAAGCAATAATAATCAAGACAGCATGGTATTGGCCCAAGGACAGATATACAGATCAATGAAATAGAATTGAGAACCCATAATTAAACCCACACATCTTTGGTCAACTGATTTCGAGCAAGTGTGCCAAGACTAGCAGATGGGGAAAGAATATCTTGTAGACAAAGGGTGCTGGGACGACTTGCATAGGCACATGCAAAAGAATGAAGCTGGACCCTCACCTCACATCATATAAAAAATTAACTCAAAATGGATCAGAGAACTACATGTAAGAGCTAAAACTATAAAACTCTTAGAAAAAAAAAAACATAAATCTTCATAACCTTGGATTTGGCAAAGGATTCTTAGATATGACACCAGAAGCCCAAATAACCAGATAAGATAAATAAATTGGAATTCATCAAAATGTAAGACTTGCGCTTCAAGAGGACACAGACAAGAAAATGAAAAGACAACCCACAAAATGGGTGAAAATATTTGCAAATCATATAACTGACAAAGGACTTGTATCCAGAATATATAAAGAACTCTTACAACTCAATAGAAAGACTTATAACCCAATTAAAGTATGGGCAAAGGATGTGAATAGACATTCCTCTAAGAAGACATACAAAGATCAATAAAACACATGAAAAGATGCTCAACATCATTAGTTATTAGAGAGAAACAAATCAAAAGCACGTTGAGATACCACTTCACACCCGCTAAGATTTCTAGAATCGAAAAATCAGATCAATACAAGCGTTGACAAGGATTTGAAAAAATCAGAACCCTCATACATTGCTGTTGGGAATTTAATGGTGCAGCTGCTTTGGAGAACAGTCTGGCAGTTCCTCAAATGATTAAACATATATATAGTTACCCTGTAACCCAGAAACTTGGCTCCTGGGTAGATACCCAAGAGATGTGAAAACACGTGGCCACACAAAGACTCGTACACAATGTTCACAGCAGCATTGTCCATAATAACCAAAAGGTGGAAACAACTCAAATGTCCATCAACAGATGAATGAGAACAAAACGTGGTGTATTCATACGGTGGAATGTTAATTAGCCCTAAAAAGAAAGGAAATACTGACATATAACATAGAAGAACCTGGAAAAGATCATACTAAGTGAAGAAACCAGACACAGAGGGATAAATATGACATGATCCCATTATATAAAATGTCCAGAATAAGAAATCTACAGAGACAGTAACCGGGGGATGGGAAGATAGAAGGTGACAGCTAAAGGGTATGGGGTTTCCTTTCAGGGTGATGGTAATATTTTAGAATTGACTGTAGGGATGGCTGCACATACGTGTAAGTGTACTAAAACCCACTGCATTGTGTACTTTATTTTATTTTTATTTATTTATTTACTTTAAAGATTTTATTTATTTGTGCATCCTGTACTTTTATGGGTGAATTATATGGCATGTGAGTTAGGTCTCAACAAAGCTGTTGAAAAAAAAAAAAAGGGACTCTTAAGTCAAGGTCTTTGGACAGAAGGGCAAAGAGCAGGCTCACAGGAGCAAGGAGGCAAAGTGCAGGGCTTCCCACCAGAGCCTGGTGGCCTCGAATCTCGGGACATGACCCCTAGGAACGTGCTGCAGACCTGCCCCGGGGAGCCCCCCACCACAGACACAGTATGCACTCCACACACATGCTGTCCGTGTGCTCAACATGTGTGTTAGGTGCAAGGACAACAGCCCCACTTTTGAGGAGCCCACAGCCAGTGGGGTATGCTCAGGTGGGTGCCAGACGTCCAGGGTGGGCCCACAGACACAAGCTCACTGGATCTCTCTGCAGTCAAGGGAGTGATCCAATGCACAGCAGGGAGCGAGGTGGGAGCGGGGGGCAGTCCCTCAGGATACACACTCAGAGAGGGAGGTGCCACTGAACACTCCACCCAGCTCCTGAAATGGCCCAGGCAGTCCCCCCCGCCCCCCCGTCCCTGCCCCAGGGCACTGTGGGCGCCACCTAAGGAGTTACAGTTCTGGGGGCCTTTCTGGGGTCAGTTCCTGGACCCAGGCATGGAGGGACACAGTGCCCACTGTCCTTGCTGGCCAGTCCTGAGGAAAACAGCTAGAAAAGCATCTTCCTTCCACGCCCAATGAGCCTCCTCACACCCAGACACAGACTTCCCGCCCCGCCTGGGATCTGCAGAAAACCGAACGGCTTCTCTCCTGCTGGCTCACACCAGGGGCGGATGTGTGCTCAAGAGCTGACAAATTATTTTAATATATCCTGAAATCTAACTTAATTAGAGAGCAAAGTCCCCGAGGGAGGAAAATATAGTGGGGTCTGAAGTCCAGATGGATGGGTTTTGGATTATGACTATGTCGGAGCTGACTGCAGTTTTAGGAATGACTAATTCCACCGCAGTCCCCAGGTATTAGGGCAGCTGCTTACTGAATACTTTCACGCAGACATTTCCCACAACAGCCACTCGGGAGAGGCATTTTCCTCCACTGCTCAGTTCAAGAACCGAGAGGGGCTGCGTGCCCTCCAGAGGGTAAGACCACCCAGGCCGCAAGTCTCACAGAGGGGAGCAGGGCTGGAAAGGATGCCCAGCGGGACAATGAAGGAAATCCTGAGCCTGGCACAGCCACGCACGTGGCCTGGCACCAGCTCCCTGGCCGATGGCACCCCAACTTCCAGCGAGTGTGCCCACTGTTTGATGGTAGCCCCCACGGCCGTTCCAGGGGTTTGCGATCTTGTCACAAAACCAAAGGAATCCACCTCGGACCGCTCTGAAAAACTTCCGAGTATTTACCAAAGACGACCACACACGCCCCATACACTAGGAACTCAACTTCTTGCTCTGTTCCCAACAGCAAGACTGGCACGTGTCCACCGAAAAACAGGATTTGTAACGGCCCCGGCTGGAAACTCCCCAAGTCCATCTGCAATAGACTGGTGAATGAACTGGTGTGTTCATACGACGGAAGACCACAAGCCATCAGAATGAACCTCAGTGACACAACAAAGACGCATCTCCAGACAGAGCACTGCGTGAAGCGGCCAGACACAAAATACTTCATGCTGTATGATTCCATTTACAAAAAGAATAAGCGCAGGCACAATGAGCGCGTGGTGATGGAAATCAAGACCGGCTACGCTTGGTGGGGGTGATGATTAGAAAGTCGTGGGGGGGCTTCTGGGTGCAGGTTACACAGCCGTCTTCTCTTGCGAAAATGTGCACTTTAAGGCACACAAGTTAAACTTCAGCGAAAAGCCAAGCAGAAAGCGAAGTACCCACAGTCATCCCTGCATCTGTCCCTGGTCCACCCTGGGCAGGACCGGTGGCTTCCCAGCATTCCCCTACCCGGCTGAGGCCATAGCCCAGGGGTGTCTTCCGGTGGGAAGAGAGCAGGCCAGTTCAGCCCTGACCTCCCCAAGGCTGGCTAACCTCTCCGCACCCCAACTTCCTCACCTGAGCATGGCTGTCACATCTGTCGGGGGAGGCTCCCCGGGATGTGAATTTTCACGAAGTAAGGGCCCTGTGTAACCGGCACCCAGCCTGCAGCTCCCCGCATCAGCCATCCGCTTGCTAGACTGATTTATGAGGAGCTACTCTGCGCCAGGCACTGGGGATTCCTGAGTATTGTCAAGCACCCTGCCTTCAAAGGGCTGACCTTCCAGTAACAAGACATACACGGGGGGGGGGGGGGGAGGAAAAATGAGTGAAAGGGTCAAAAGATAAAAAAAAAAAATTAACACACACAGATTGCACTTGAATACCCATAAAGTACTGCCATGGCTGTCATGGTGGGAGGAAGGGAAATCGCTCAGACTACCACCTCGGATTGTAAGGGAAGTATCTCCCCTCTTTACAGTAAATAATAATTTATGCCACCTGTCAGCGAGCACCAGCAATAAGGAGCGTCTCAGAACCAAGCCTCAGAGGCCAGGAGTTGTGTGTGATCATTTGCAAAGACAGAGCTTCTCAGAGATCTGGAAGGAAAAGGGGGACCGGCAAAGTGAAGGGCTGGGGTAGCTCTCGGGGGCGCTCCTGCTAGGACAAACTCCCAGGGTCACATTTCCAGCCTAGGGGAGTTCAGCAGCCAGACATGCTCTTTCTTCGAAGAGCCTCTGTCTTCCTTTCCCCCCACCAATGACGGGTCCCTCTCCAGTTTGTCCAGCGCACAGGGGAACTGGTCAACACCCCCCACTCCTCCTGTCTCCACCCAGACCTTTAGCGCAGGTTCTAAGACTTGCCCCCCCCACTCCCCCACCCCTAGCCCCGCGAGCACAACAGAAAAAGGAACCAGGGAAATGGCATTTGGATGGTGTGCCCCCCGCCCCCCAGCATCGATTTCCTCTTATAATAATCCTCAGTGTCTCTTAAGGGTCCACACTGCCTGCATTCCCAACTCGCTGGCCCCAAAGGGCGCTCCCTCACTTTCCCCCCATAGACGGGGCTCTCTCCCATTGCGCTCTGTCCCGACACCATGAATGACTGGAGACCCTCATCAGCCACGGCAGGTGGGCCTTCAGACAGCACACGGGCTCGGAGAACAAGGGGAGCACAGGGTGGAGGTCCCTGAGGCAGCAGTGTCCCCACCCAGTCCACCCTGGACTCCTCAGTGTTGCCAAATATTAAATTCCTTGTTTGCTTTAACCCACTTGGAGACCGTTTTCTCCATCGCTTTCAAAAGAGTCCGAACTGATGCAAGATGCCTTATATTCTTCAGAAGGTAAACACGACTGCATCTCTTCCTCCAGGCTTCACTGTTCTGCTGAAGGACCTTTAAGTGTTGAAATGTCTTCATCTTCCTGCTCTCATTTACAAAAAGTATTCCCAAAAATGTCTTCCAAGGAAAATTAGTTTGGGGTGTTGCGCCTCACGGGATGTAAAAGGTAAGAGATGGTCTGCGGTCACGTAAATGTGCAAATTACTCCCTGCCACAAAGTTAAATTTGGTTTCTTTATTGCAGGACTTCTCAGACCCTTTAACGTATGACTGGTTTGTTTGTTTGTTTGTTTTTAAAGATTTTATTTATTTATTTGTCAGAGAGAGAGAGAGAAAGAGCACAAGCAAGGGGAATAGCAGGCAGGGAGAAGCAGGCTCCCCGCTGAGCAAGGAGCCCCGACTCGGGACTCGATCCCAAGACCCTGGGATCACGACCCAAGTCGAAGGCAGACGCTTAACCGACTAAGCCACCCAGGCATCCCTGACCGGTTTATTTTACTTCAATCTTTGCGACTAAGATTTATGTGCTCAATTTTTAAGGGGGTGTAACGGCATGCCTGACTCCCTGCCGTGTGTTTGGCTGTGGAAATCTTATTTTCATGGAGTAACTACAGGACAAAATGACATGAAATACACGGTTTCTATTTGGGGGCCCATTCCGCCCACAGACACGTCGCTGTCTGCTGTGTATCCACCGGAGAACAAGCCTCGCGTGTCTCAAGGCCTGGGCTGCAGGGACCCGGGCCAGCAGCCAGGCGTCCCTCCACCTTGCAGAGCCACCTCATGTGCCCTGTACAGGGACCTCTGTCTGTGATTTCACTTGGAGGGAAAAGGTTCAGCTGCAAAGAAGAAGAACAAAGAAAAAGAAGAGAGAAGCCGCGTGTGTGGTCCAGCCCCTTCACTCTGCAGCTGAGCAAGAAGGGTCTCGCCCGAGAGCAGAGAGCCAGGGACGAGCCGGCCCAAACTCCGGCAGGGACACAGGCACTTGGGTTTGCTGGGCACATGCAGATTCCAGGTGCCCCATGGGCCGGGCCACAGGCCTCTCCCTGAAACGTCCTGAGAGTTTTTTTAATCATGATGTCGGAGGAGAGCAAAGGTTTGGGCCAGACCGTCAAGACTGCCCTTTCCCGTGAAAGCCCGTGGTGCAGGACAGACAGGAATTCCACAGAGGGCGAATGGCAGCCACGGGTCCACGCGCATGAGCCCAGCCGGGGCGGGCACAGCAGTCAGTCCCACTTCAGGCACGAGGCCCAGGGTCTTGCCTGGAGCCACAGGGCCAGGAAGAGGAGGGGAGCGTGGACTCCGGACTCCAGCTCAGGGAAGCGGGCTGAGGCAATGCCACGGCCAGAGGAGGCTACTTGGTGTCCGACCGGTGTTGCCCACTCAAGGCGGCTGCTCCTTCCAGGGAGGAGTCTGGTCCCAGACTTGAGGTGGGAGCTCCCTCTGGCCAGCTGGCCTGACACTCTGCCAGGCATTCCTCCATGCACTCACCCCGCGGCCACGCGGGCGCAGAGGGCTCACAGCCCCCGTGCGTGGCTCATACCCCATGTTGCAGGTGCTGTGGGCTGAGGGGAAGAGGGCGTGTCATTCTAAGCAGGATGCCCCAAGGAAGGTGTCACCAGGTGACAGGCGGCGAAGCCTTGCAGCGTGGGTACGCCCTGGCCCTCCGCTCTCTAGATGCAGGCCCGCTGGGGGGAGGGGGCGTGAGGGGCACCCTTACTGTGCCTGCCATCCCAAAGACCCCTCCTCTCCTAACCACGGTGGTGGCCAGGTGGCAGAGGACAGGAGACCTACTCCCTGACAGGCTGTCCCTGGGCCCGCCTGGATGCCTCTGGGACAGCAGGTACTCAGAGCACCGGGAGCGCTGGAGTGGAGGGGTACCAAGCACCCCTTCCCGTGCACGGGGCCCAAAGAGTGTCAGATTTGGACTCTGATGTACTGCCGTGTGGCCCTAGGCAAGTCACCTCTCCTTCTGGGGCTGCTTCCTGCTCTTGAGCGCCTGGAAGTAGCTTCGAGGACCACGGGAAGCAATGAAGGGATGCTCTTCCAGCCCCGACACCTAACCCTGGAGTCTAAATGCAGCGTTTAAAGCTCTACCTCAGGACCTCTGGGCGCACCCACACCTCGTCCCACACTCTTGGGGTCACCGCCCCCCACCACAGACGGGGAAACCAAGGCTCAGAAACAGGAAGCCACTTTCTCAAGGCCACACAGCCAGGCAGTACTGCGCCCACTGAGACTAGCTGGCCTGTAGGCCACGCTTCCCCCACTGGCCACAGGGACGCCAGGGACCTAACTCTGCCCTCAGGGAGCAAGGAAAGAGGCACAGTGAAGTATATAAGGGTAATTAAGCAGTGAAAGCAGACGGCAGTACAAAGGGGAGGCCTGAGGTGGGGTCTGTGCAAAGGCGGGAAGGATGGGTGGACAGAGCGGCTCTGGGCCAGGCTGCCCACAGGGCAGTCCCCCCAGGCCAGGCTCCAGGTGCCGGCCTCTCAACCCCACTGAAGCCCCTGGCGGTCCCATGCCGCCCCCAACCCCGGTGGTTCAGCACTGGAGGCCCTGGTCCCACCAAGTGTGGCAGGTTAAAGATGCCAACAGTTCTGAGACTCCCTCCCATGAAGCCTCCCTCCCTGCTCCCCACCGTCCCCAGGGCCCTGAGGGTCTGTGGGGCCTGCCCATAACCCATCTGCTGGGGCTCCCCACCCCCCTGGATGGAAGGCTCAGAGGGCAGGGTCTTGCTCCCACGTCGCCCAGCAATCCCCCTGCATGGCACTTGGGGTGTGGGGGGCTCTCGATCAATGTTTAACGAATGACTCAGGGAGCCGGCAGCTCAGAGAAGAGATGTGAGGTGGAGCTGCAGAGGAACGACAGCGCCGGATCATGGAGGGCTTGCAACACTGGGCTTCACGTCGATTTTGGCAACAGGGTGCCATGGTGGGCTCTTGGGCATGGGCTTGGAGGAAGATGGGCTTGGTGGGCTGGACAGGAAGGCTGGTGTCGGGGGCCGTGGGGGTAAGCAACCTGGGCACAAGCACTGGTGCAAATGTGACATTTTCAAGGGCGACTGTGGCCACACACAGCCTGGACTCTTAAAGACCCCCAGGCCAGCTAGTACTCAGGGGCGGGGGGCACACTTCCTAAAGCAGTCGACCAGCAGAGAAAGCACCCCCACAGACAGAAAGGAAAGTGCCCAGAAGGGGGCAGATTTGGCTCTCCTGAAATGCAGCCTGCAACCAAGGGCCAGGAAACAGGCGCCCAGAGCTGTGGAGATTAAGGCCAGTTCTCCTGCTAAAGCCACTTAGCAGCCGACACAGCATGCCGAGCTCGGCCACTGTATCTATGATGAAGGAATAAGTCATCTGAAAACACAAATAAATTATTCATTCCCCACAAATGAGCAGCCCCTCGGTTCCTGCAACAGCCACCACACCACAAACACCCCAAAGGCTCAGCGAATCCTATTAGTGACACTGCTCTGCGGAGCAGACACCGGATTCCACCATCACCCCATGTAGACAGCTCTTGCCCGAGACCTGCCCACACGGCTTTCCATTCTGCAGCCACGAGTGACATCAGCCCAGCATCAAATGGAAAATCACAGCCCAGCCCGGCCTGGCTTGGGAGACGTGGGGCTTTCTGTGCAGAGCACGTCTGCACTGAAGGACCGGTCTTTTACCCACCGCCTCCTGACCCTGACTGCTCCCCCCAGGGGCCAAGTCACCGTCCGGCCCAGGGACACAAGCCTGGAGTTGGCCTGCCAGCTAGCATGCAGATTTCTGGGCCCGGACACCTCCAGGGTTCAGCCTGGGGGTGGGGGGACACTGCATTTCCCAGCTGGGGCCACCAGGAGGAACCACCTGGATCGATCACAGCACAGCTGGCCTCACACCACTAGGCAGTCCTGGGTCAGGTTCTCGCCTCCTGGCGCCCCAGGTGCCCTGATGGGTTTTCGGGGGATGGCAAGAGAGGACATTTGCAAAGTACTTTCATGTACTGGTGCTCAGCGGAGGTCACTCGCAGCTGGGTCTTTGCATAGCCTCACACCTCCAATTTTAGATCTTTGATTCCCGTCTGCTCAGCTCAGGTCACAGTTAGGAAGGAGAGCCTGGGAGGTTTTTCTGAGTGCCAAGCTCTGTGCTTGCCTAGAACACCCCCCGAGTGCCCAGAGAACCCCCCTCCCTTCAGACCCCAGCTCTTGGCCCCTCCTACTGGGAGGTCCCCAAACTCCGGGTGGGCGCTCACTTCTACGGCGCTGCGCTTTGCTGGGATTTGCTGACCTGCATCCAGAGCCCCACAAGCAAAGGGACAGTAGAAGGACTGAGGTCTTACCCCTGGGGCCCAGCACACCGCCGGGCCCAGAGCTGCAGGGTCAGCGTGGGCAATGAAAACTAACCACTTTCTCTTTGCGGAGTTAGTTGTCTCATGTGATGTGAGCAGATGGGCTTCGTCCCTCTGTCCCTGCCCCTCCATGACAGGTCTGTGCAAGAACAACCCTTGTTGTGAGGGGTTTCCAGCCCCTCCCCGGCTCCTTGGGGGAAGAAGTGGCTTTCTGACCTGACTGAAGAAATGAATGACCTTCCAGCCTGAGGGCCCCCACCTCTTCCACGCTGCGCCCCCCCCGCCCCCCAGGGTGGAGATCAGTAGCTGCTCCACTGTCTGTGTATGAAAGGAAGATTTGTTTTTAAGAGTAAGGGCAAGTAACAGGAAGCTGATTCTGGCCAGAGAGCAAGCTTGCCCGTCCACAACTACCTGCAAAAAGGAGTGCACGTGTATGTGGGCACGTTCACACATAGACAGACAGACAGACAGACACACACACACACACACACACACACACAATTTAGTGGTTCTCAACTGTGGGTGATTTTGCCCCCCTGGAGCTTTTGGAAGTGTCTGCATTTTTGGTTATTACAACTGGGGCATGGGGATCACCCCCTGGCATCTAGTAGGTGGAGGCCAAGGATGCCCCTGAACCTCCTCCAGGGAACAGGAGCCCTCCCCAGCGCAACAAAGAATGATGCAGCCAGACCCTCAGCAGTACAGAGGGCGAGAGCCCCTGACGCAGATACATCCCCCGTGTTTTTGTTTGCCCCTCATCTGGTGACAGAATCTTGCCCTGAGCGAGGACTTCCCTGACGGAAGCACGCCCCTCCTTCCCAAATAAAGGACCAACGGTCCTGCAGGACGCAGAGCCAGCCCACGCGCCCACTGCTTGAGAACGTCTTGCACAAGCAAGCCCACACTCCCCACCCTTCTCTTCAACAGGGAGGGGCTCTGGGAAGCTGAGTTTCAATGCTTGAGGACTCGCGTTGATTGTGCAGGGGCCCGCTGTGTGGCTGGGCGGGAACAGGAAGATGTGCAGTCTTTGCGGCTGGCTTGTGGACACCACACTCAGCGGTGACAGCAGGCACATGCACCTGACACCCCTCCCACGCGGGCCAGGGTGTGCGGCCCAGGGCCTCCACTCTATGACATGGGTTAGGAAGCCCGGCCCTTACTGCAGGACTTGGCATGTGGCCATTTCCTTCTGAGCCCTATTTTTTTTTTTAAGATTTTATGTATTTATTTGAGAGAGAGAGAGAAAGAAAGATCGAGCAAGAGCAGGGAGGGGCAGAGGGAGAGGGAGAAGCAGGCTCCCTGCTGAGCAGGGAGCCCGATGCGAGGCTCGATCCCAGGACCCTGAGATCCTGACCTGAGCCGAAGGCAGACGCTTAACCGACTTAGCCACCTAGACAAACCTCCTCCCTTTTATTTTTTAAGATCACACAAGATGGGGTCTTTTCTGCACACCAAAGTCTCAAACGTTCCATCAGAGAGCTCTACGGACGTGAGGTTTTGGTGGCACAGGGAACCTGGGCAGGGAGTTTATACAAAAAGTGTCAACCCCCACCCAGTTCTTCAGCGCAAAGGGAGGCTGACAAACGCAGTCCCTTACGTAGAGGCTGCTTGGAGGCAACAGGCTTGAGCTATGGAAGGTAGAAGGGCCCACGGTGACCACCTGGCTGAATACAGACAGGCCCATCAGGTGACCCACCTCAAAATACCCACAGGCCCTGAGGCGCCTGGCTGGCTCAGTCAGTTGAGCGTCAGACTCTTGATTTCGGCTCAGGTCATGATCCAGGGCTGTGAGATCGAGCCCCACATCCGGCTCTGCGCTGGGCGTGGAGTCTGCTTACGGATTCTCTCTCTCCCTCTGCCTCTGCCCCCCCCCAAAAAAATCCATAGGCCCTAACTGACCCATGGGCTACTTACAACCAGAAACAGTTACCAATAAAGGGAGAATTCCAGACTTTGCCATACCACCTCATTTTCCCCCTTTAAAAACAGGCCCCAGGGCGCCTGGGTGGCTCAGATGGTTAAGCGTCTGCCTTCGGCTCAGGTCATGATCCCAGGGTCCTGGGATCGAGTCCCGCATCGGGCTCCCTGCTCCTTGGGAGCCTGCTTCTCCCTCTGCCTCTCTCTCTCTCTCTCTCTGTCTCTCATGAATAAATAAATAAAATCTTAAAAAAAAAAATAAAAACAGGCCCCACCCACTGCCTCACTGGCAGAAGGCCTCTCCTCGGGGGTCCTGCCCGCGCTCCCCGGCGCTGTATTCAGTAGACTTCTAGCTCCTTTGTTCTGCCTCAGGTGAACGCTTCCAATCGGCTTCCACCCGCTCGTCCCCCCACATTTGGGGGCCCTCATCTGATCGGGAGAGACACCCCATTCAGACACCACAGCTTAGTCCTGCATGATGTGGAGTCGACACCCAGTGTCAAACCACGAGGGGGACGGAACAATCCGCTCCACACCGCGTACATTACAGTCCAGAGAGAACGTCACACCTGCGTTGTCACTTAACCCTCCCGACCCGAAAGCCTGGGCCGGAGAAGGTGGGAGGCTGGCATTGGTCTCAGTGGGAAGGGAGATTCGAGGTCCCTGGGCAAGACTTCTCCCCGGGCTCAGCGGACAGGGGCTGTATTGTTGTTCAAAGCACCACCTTCAATCTTAAAGGAGCTGTAGGTGGCTTCTTGCTTGCGTCACGGGCCTATCTGGTTATTTCATAGTTGGATGCACCTCCCAGGTGGGCCCTATCAGCGGCACCAAGACGCCGCAGACAGACGGCAGCAGGCCCCCTGCTGGGAGATTCCGGGGCAATGTGACATGTGCCATGAGGAGGGTGAGTGCAGGATGCTGGCGGCCGTGGGCACTGAGAGGCCTACAGCCCTACCTAAGGATCTGGGAAGGCTTCTTAGAGGAGGTGACATCTAAAGAGAGACCTAAAGGATGAATAAGACTTAGCCATGCACACAAAGAGAGACAGAGAGAGGAAATGCAGAGGGGTGGGCTACAGGAAGCGGCTTTGCCAGGGACTTCCCAAGAAGCTCCCTCAGCCAGGCAGGGGCAACGCAGGCTCTCGGGGCCCAGGCACCCCACGGACAGACTACAGTCAGTGGGCAGCTACGGTCAGGGCCCCTGGCTCCCGTGTGTGAGGCACCTGGGTGGATCACAGTCAGGGTGCCCGCAGGCTTGTTCCGGCACGGGTGGCCTGTCTGGAAAAAGCGTAGGGGCTGGGTGTACTCAAGACGCAAACAGCAAACACCCCTCCACCCCCGCCCCGCCCACAGCAGCACCCCTGCCCAGATCCTCTCTGGTTCTCACGGGCCACTGGGCCCACAAAGAGGGCAGGCTGAGACCCGGGGCTTTGCCACCACGCACCTGCCCACACACCTTCCTGCCAGGCCCAGAGCGAAGGAGCCCGGTGTCTCCAGACCTGAGCACTTCCTCACTGAGAGCTAGATCCTTCTTTGTAACTGCAAGTGTACCGTGGCCAAGGGGAGCAGCACCAGCAGCTTCCACGGGCCCCTTCGGCGTGTGGGGGCAGGGTCACAGTTAAAATTGTGCAGTCTGCAGGGATTACACTTCCCATCTGGACCTCCAGGTGGGCCCGGGGCAGGGAGTCCACCTTCCCTTACAAGAGATTTTGCCCAAAAGTTGGGCCCGCTCCTGACTGCAGCGCGGGGGCTGTGATGCAATCCGTCTGGACTGACGGGCAGGAGCTGCTGACTCCGGGGCGCGCGCCCACCTCCCACAGCTTTTCATGTTTTTCTCAAACCTGTACACTCGTGAATGAACGAATCTGTACTTAAACCACAGGGCAAAACCTGCCTTTAACCCTGTTACATTTCAGCTCATCCTTTCCACCTCGCAGAGCTTCTGGTATTCCGTGGCCCCCTGGCTTTTAGCCACTGTGACGTAGGTACCACGTCATACGCAGTGGCGAGTGAAGATGCTGAGGCAGTCAGGGCAGAGCCACATGGCACCTGTTGAGAGCCGTCCGGGGCCACCGTGGTCCCACCGCTCAAGGCCTGCAGGGAGGGTCATGCTACCATCCCTGGGGCCTCTGGCCACCACTGCTCAGCCCCCACCACCAGAGCCTCCACTGTGCCCTGCTGAAGTCCGAGGGCAAAGTCACAGCCCCGCTGCCCAAGAAAGGAGCCCGGTTTGTGTGTCCTCACGGGTGGCCGCCCTCAGGCCCCCTCCCGGGGCCGCACCCCATCAGAGTAACCCCCACAACTAACACCTCGCCCATCTCCAGTTTTTCTAGAAACACACAGTGAAGGACATTTTGCAAACGGAAAGAAGGAGGTCGGACTTGGGGAAGCAGCGGGGTCGGACTTCAAATCCTGTCCCTGGAATTGCTGACTTGTGCAGGCGGACAGGTGCGGCCTGTGTGCTGGAGACTCGAACGTTCTCCCTGAGGCAGGGAGGGTGGGTAGGGAGGTCACATGGTGGCTCCAGGCTCACACCCCGCTCTCCCCTGACCTCCCCAGGTGGGCGCCAGGGGCGCAAGGCTTGCCTCCCGTGGAACAAGAGGCTGGACTGAATCACGTCCACGTCCAGAACCTTCTGTGATTTGCCGTCAAAATTTAAGTTTATAAATACTTGTTAATGACACGGGGAAATGGGCTATGGCACTAACTGGGAAGGTGGAATATGAAGGGGATTCGTGGTATGTGTCCCTTCACCGCCCTATCCGTAAATACCACTGACTAGAAGAAACGGCCCACCTGTTAGCTGTGATTTCTCTAAATTGCAGGACAAGGGGGTTCGATTTGCTTTCTTTTTTTCTGCATTTTTCACCTTCTTCACAGTGAGCACCGAACATATATAACCAGACCAAAAATACTTTGAAGGACACGCTTCTCCAGCACAGGTGCTAGCGGACCGCAGCCTCACCCCAGCCACTGGGTCCTGGACCAGGCAGCGCCCTACTTTGGGAGCAGGGGGTAAAACACAGCTGCAACCAAACTTCCCCAGCCCTGAGCACCTTGGAAATGTTGATTATTCACACAAAGAAGTCCCACACCTCCCTTCAAAGCAGTCTTTAAAAAATAAAACAAAAAAAAACCCCCAAACATGTAATTATATCTTCCTGCACTTTGCTGTGGGTAAGGCAGGTGCAGAGCTGATACTGGAAAATGCCAGGGGATTCAGGCAGTTGCATCCATCCTCAGGATCCCATGATGTCACAAATCCCATAGAGAGCCCTGAAACCGAGCAAGTTACCCCAAAGAGCCAGCGTCATCCTGGCCTCCAGCATCCACGCTGACAGGAGGCCACAGGCCTGGAAATGACCACTTGGCTCAGTGAAGGCCTTCAGCCCCAAGTGAGGAGGAGGCTCCTCTCTAGCAGCCCCCTTCTCTGTAGTTGCTCAGACACCCTCTCCTCTGTGTGCCCCCCTACCCCCCGCTCAGAGGACAGCTTGCTGCGCCCAGGAGGACTTCGAATGTTCTTACGTGTGTATCCATTTACCTTCCACACTGGGCTGACAGGTCCTCAGAACAGAACTCCCTAATAACCACTTTTGCATTTCGGTGCCAAACCCAGCGCCAGGGCTGAATGGAAGGGAGAGAGGCGAGCAGGCCTGGTTCGTGTGTTAATGGTGAATAACTTGGCCCTGGCCCCACCTTGAAGTTGCTAATCTGCTGGATACTCTCCAAGTACAACGTTCAGGTAGGTGGAGGCATGATGTGAGCCAAGACAAAGGGAACCTTCCAGGAGGTGGGCTTCAATGTGGACCAGGAGAAGTAAAGTGCACAAGACAGGACGGGAAGGGGACATGCCCCCAGGGGGATCAGCAGTGGGGTCCAGCCCGGCCAGGCACTCGGGTGCCAGAGTCCAAACTCACCTGTGAGCAGTAGGGCAGTGACATTCTCAAGTCCTATCCATACACCTCTCCAGCTGAAGCGCTAAAGCAGTGGAAAAAACAGAATAAATCCCTAGTGCCCAGCAGGTCTGGACACACACGGTACCGTGCTTTAGCTGTGATTCAGCTCGGCCACCTCCCACCGGCCATCCACGGTGGACGGGTGCAGCCTCTGCTGTCCAGCTCACCCCATCTCTCCACGGTGCCTTCTAGAAAGACCAAGTGCAGAATGGCAGGGTGTTTGTTAAATAAGTAAGGCTTGGCCAGGAATGAAATATGGCCAAAGCCTGCAAAATTGGGCCACAAAAGATGATTTTAATAAAATGGAAGAACGTTTTCAATAAGTTATGTTAAACAGGTTACAATGCAGTATGTAAAAAATAGAGTCTCATTACAGCAAACTTTAATGAGACATGCATTTTCTGACATTCATGAGACTAGAAACTATAAGGCAGTGTGATCCGGGGCTACCCTGCCAGGCTAAGCAAGATTATTTCCAAAATTGCTCTCCCCGCCCCCCTGTGAGCCTGCCAGGCCCACTCCCACCTTGAGTCTGGCAATGGCTCCACCTGGACCATCTTCCCCCGCAGCAGTCCCCACATTTGGTCAAATAATCACCTCTTTTTTTCTTTTTAAGACTTTATTTATTTGAGGGCGCCTGGGTGGCTCAGATGGTTAAGCATCTGCCTTCGGCTCAGGTCACGATCCCAGGGTCCTGGGATCGAGTCCCGCATCGGGCTCCCTGCTCCTTGGGAGCCTGCTTCTCCCTCTGCCTCTCTCTCTCTCTCTCTCTCTGTCTCTCATGAATAAATAAATAAAAAAGTTTAAAAAAAAAAAAGACTTTATTTATTTGAGAGAGAGAGCATGAGAGAGGCAAGGGGCAGAGGGAGAGGGAGAGGGACAAGCAGAGTCCCCTCTGAGCACGGAGCCCAACTTGGGGTTTGATCCCACGACCCTGAGATCATGACCTGAGCCAAAACCAAGAGTCAGATGCTCAACTGACCACACCACCCAGGTGCCCCTCAAATATCACCTTCTTAATGAGGTCTGCCACCACTGATTTATCTCAGATTGCAAGCCCCTCTGTCCAAAGTCCCCACTCCCCATCACCCTGCTCAACTCCTTCCCAACATGATGGAATTTGCTCGATTATCATGTTGGTCCCCCACTAAATGCCTCGTCCTTGAGGTAGGAGCTTTGTTACTTTATGTTTCAGGAGTATCCTCGGAGCCTCAAACAGTGCCTGGCACATAGTAGGCATTCAACAGACACCTGTTGAATTCACATGTCTATCTTTTGTAGTAAGAAAAAAAAATAACAATAGCAAAATATTTAAATGTCAAAAAAAATTTAAATGTCGGGTTTTTTTTTTTTTCTTCTAGATCAGGCACATTTCCCCTTAATGCGAGACCTGGGTATTTTCACATGCCTTATCGGCATTAAGAATGGGATCTTTTTTGGTGAAGGCAAGTTCTTTAAGGTATAACTTACATATGCTAAAATTCATCCCTTTTAGGTACACAGTTGAGTGAGTTTTGACAAATGTACACAGTTGTATGACCCCCAACATAACATTTTCAGCACAAGAATGGGATCTTTGCAAATTATATATTAATAAGCAGTCATGGCTAATAGGAATATTTATCCTCTCTCCAACTACTCTCCTAATTATTTCACTAACTGATAGTTTTGCAACTGATTCTCCTTTTTCTCCCCAGATACAGAAGAAGGGCAGAAAGGAAGCCAACGTTTGCTGAGCACCTGGTACACGTAAGGCGCTGGCATGGAGACATCTTCCTGGGTCTCATTTTCTCCTGGAACCCTCCGAGGGGGGTGCTGTGTCCAGGGCGAAACCACAGTCGGAAGGTCAGCACCCTGCCCAAGATCATAGAGCTGTGAAGAGGACAACTGGGGGCTTCCATCCGTCAGGTAGATTCTGACTTCAGAACTCATGTTCGTCCCAGCAAACAACAACGGAGTCAGTGTCATAACCGTGAATGACGATGGGGTGGTTGCAATCTGTCAATCTGAGACAGCCTTGCCTTGAGTTTCCAGCACGCTATGAAATAGGGTGGCCGTCGATCCCATGCCCTCTGCCCAGTTTGCTCGTGTACTTCCTTCTTCACCCCGACACCTCTGACACACAGCTCCGGGGACGAGAAAAGCCCCCAAGACCCCAGCCCCAGGACGAGCGGCAGAATGCCCAGGCAGGAGAGGCTCCTTGTTGATACCATCCAGCCTGGTGAATTCTACAGACAACAAAGCGTCGCTGAATGAAAAAAAATAGGTCTTGAAACAGTACCTAAGGAATGATCTCATGTACAAAATTCCATCTATAGGACTATGTACCCGCAGGGGCGTCCTCCTGGGGGTAGGACAGGCACCAGAATGTTGTCTCTTAGCTGGGATTACGGGTAGGACTTCTCTACCCCCTGCCCCCACCTCTTTGTTCTTGTAGGATTTTCTTCCCTAAAGGCAGCTAACTAGGGAAGATCTACCCCCACCCCCACCCCCGCAAAGACCTCTGGGCCCAGATCCCTCCAGATCCTCCCAAAGACCCTCTAGGCCCAGATCTCCCAAAGACCACCCCTGTGTGGCCAGCGCATGGACACAGACACCTGCCTGTCTGCCCACCCTTCCATTCAACACTTCAAGGCAACCGGTTCTGGGTGATGAACTGACCACTCTGGTGGGTGTGGCGGAGTCAGGACGCCACCTCTATGCCATCGGGCAGAATGGTCTGCCCTCCTCCCCTTTGTCAGATCCTCCCTCTGTGGACACTCAACTCAGTTCCCAGGCCCTCCCAAGAGGCTCTTCCAAGAAGCCTTCTCAGATGCGCAGAGTCCAAAACATTCTTTCCCTTTCCTCCCAACACCCACTTGCCTCAATACTCTGCTCCCGCCTCTACGTAAATTCCTGTCCCATGCATTGTCTTTGAATTAAATACCCGTGTCTATGTCCCTGCGCACTCCTACGGGGCAGGTCTGGTTTGAAGCTGTACTTCACTCAGAGCCAGCACAGGCCTCCCGGCAGCTGTGCCCCAAAGCCTTGCTCAATTCAAACTGGGCCTCTGGTCTGGATGGGCGGCTCCCAGAGGGCAGGGCATCTGCATCCTGCACTGCATAAAACTGTGAGGAGCAACAGTTCCCCATGATGACTGTACAGACCGTGAGAACGGTCAGGTCAGGGGTCAACAGGCAACCCTGCAAGGCAGGGGCCACCCTCGTAATGCAGACAAACAAGGCCAGAGGGGAACACACGGGGTGAGGTGGGGGTGGTGCCTGTGTTGGAAGGCCACGATCGGTGATTTTTTTTTTTTTTGTCCTATATCCCGCCAACTTTCTGATGTATGTTATGTACTGTATTACATAACTTTTCTAATTAAAGGAAGAGTTTTATGCAGTCCAGCATCTCCTGGGCTCTGGTGTTCTGCCCCAGTGACCTCAAGGACGTGGCCCAGTGAGTAAGAGGGACGATCTAGGACGATGAAGGAGGGAGGGAGGGAAGGAAGGAAGGACCGCTCCCAGGGCCTAGGGCCCCAGGGTGGCAGAGGCTCACCCAAGAAGCAACACTGCGGTGGCGGAGGCCCTGAGCTGCTACACGGGGTGGCCAACACTAAGGGACTCCCACCATCTCCGACACCAAGAGACCTTACTCATTTCCTTGGCTTAAAAAACTCTGAAACATTAAAACCCCACCAACTGCAGGGGGTTTTGTGATGATATCATCTACGCTGAGATCCGCTCCAGCACCCAATCTCCGGTTTCTAGAAACGCTCCTGTCACTCGTCACTTTAGATCACTTTAAATTTTAATTTTTCTATTATCAGTCAGATGATAACAATGATACTTCCAGGCCTCCACCCTCCGCATGTCTTATTCATGGAGAAGCGCTCAGCGTGGGGAAGAGAGAACTTGCTCGGAGGCCCTGTCCTGCCCCTTTCTGGACAGGCCCCTCCGCCCCCAGGCCTCAGTTTCCTCTCCCGCCTCCATTCCAGTCAAGGAATCTAGACTGTCCCCCACCCCGGGCCCATGGCCCCACTGGCCCACAGGCTGTTCTCCTTCGGCTGTTCTCACAGGCCCGGCCCGTGGCTGTGCTCTGGGGCGCCCAGGGTCACACCTGTTCAAGCCCTTCTTACTGGAAGGTAAGGTCAACTTGGAGGAGAGCAAGGCAGCGCTCCCTTTCTGGGGGGGCCCTGGAGCACTGTTCTCCTCACTGGGGAGGGCACTGAAGGGATGGAGGGCAGGGAGAGGGGACCCCAGGGGACTTCCAGAGACGGGGGAGCAGGGGAAACCCTGAAGCTGGCCACCTTCTCCAGGACCAGCCTTGGCTTCCAGGCCAGGGAGTTGTGGGGGCCCCTGCTGCCCCAGGGACCTGTCTCCCCGCCACCCAGCTGGAGGCTCCCAGGCATCAGGCCTTACTCATCATGTATCCCCCCCCCCCATGGAACAGTGTCTGGAACACAACAGGTGCTTAATAATTGATGGAGGCCATAGAGTGAGCGCTCCACACACTCAAGCGGAATCCAACAGCGCCCCGATGAAGTGCCTCTCACGCGATTTCTCCCCCTCTCCCCAGCCAGCACACCCCACGTCGCACTCGGCTCTCTGGTGTGGCTCACGCCAAGGAAACGCAGGGTTTCTGCTCTTTAGCCCCCCCTGGGGATGATCAGAAACACAGATAAAGCAAATGTGAAATCGGGACCTCTGGCGACACTAGACGGAGACCGTCCGCTCTACCCGCCACATTTCAGCAGCACACTGGTGTGCTTTAATGTTAGAGAAAGACCCCCACGGGGTATTCCTTCATCTCTGAAGCTCGTTGGGCAGAAGAAAAAAGAAGGTGAAACGGCCCTCTGAGGGAGAGAGAAAAGTCCCAAGCGCCGGCACACCCAGTTGTGACCCAAGGAGGGTGCGGCTAGCCTGTGCCCTGAGGTCTCTGTGTCGCCAAGGAGTAGCTGCGTGGAAGTTTCTCAAACAAACCCGGGCACGGTGCCACAGGGGCAGCAAAGGACCATGGCTGGAAGCCAGGGCCCCGTCCTCCATGGCACACTGCCCCCCCCGTGGGGGTGAGACGGCCCAGGCCCGGCAGAGGGGACTTCCTGGGCACCTCACCTGGCCGCTCAGGGGGCATCTCTAGATGAATGGAGCAGCCCTACGGGGAAAATGGGGAGCATGGGGTGAGGAGGCCACTCGGAAATGAAGGTTAGTGTCCACGGGCCATGGGAAGAAGGACGCGGTCCCTCCACGGTCCCCTCTCCCTGCTGGGGAGCCCGGGGCTGGGGCTGAGGGCACAGTGAGTGGGGCCGGCGCCCCGGGACTGCCTCTCCGGGCAGGGCCATTCAGCCCAGGTGAAACTGCATTCAGGGGACGTGGAGTCACAAAGCGAGCAAGGTGAACAGTTTGCTAAGAAAAGCTCTTCCCAGAGGAGAAGCATCGAATAGGTCAGCCACAGGGCAGATGTGGATGTCAGCTCTGCCTTGTCTGCCTGGCTCCAGGGGCTGATGGCTATTCAGCCTGGTTCTCCCTTCCAGCCCAGTAGCCGGCGCCACCCACAAACCCCCCCAAACCGCAAACAGCAGGGCCGCCCAAGCCTCATGCCATTGCCTAAACCTGCCTAACCAGTTCCCAAGGGCCACCAGCGCCACTCCAGGGTCCCGGGTCATACCCCCTCCCTGCCCAGCAGCCCCTGCGTCCCCTGCTTTTCTTGTCGGCTCACCACCGGGTCCTGGATCCTAGAGGCACCAGCTCGGGCCCCCACAGGCAAACGGTCAGCCCCATAACATGTCCAATTCGGTAACAGCCTCAGATGGGTCCTTGACCTTACAGGTGGGGAGACTGAAGACCACAGGGAGGGAGGGCAGAGGCTTGTGGGAGGTCAGGATTGGAACCCGATCCTCCTTCGACGTGGCTGCCACCTGCAAGCCTGTCACAACCCCAGGAGCAGGGTGCCACATGACAGAGGAACGCACCCTCGGGATCTTCCAGCAGCTGAGGGGGCTCTGGTGGTGCCTTTGTGGGTGCCCCTGGATCACACCCCTGGGCAGGCTCCCATGGCCTGCAAGAGGCCAGTGTCAGTGACACCTCATGTCCGGAGCCTGACCCCAGTGTCCAGGTACCACAGGGCAGCCTGTCCAAGGGCCCGCTCACTGTCACCCCTCAGTCCTCCATGGGGGACCCCGCTTGGGGTCAGACACAGCAGCCCACCCTGAGGCCAGCACCTCCCGCATTCCTTGGAGCTTCCTCCTGTCAGCATCGAACTAACTATTCCTCACAGAGACAGTCCAGTTCTGCACAAGGCCCTAGAGCTTCCACGGCCGGGGACAAATATACTAAACAGGCCAAAAACCCGCCAGGCCAAAATCCTAACCCCCAAGACCACCCCCATCCAATTCCATGCATGCACCTGTTGGGCGCACACACATGCTGCCCCCCTTTCTTCAGCCGCACACCCCACCGGGCCCCAGCACTGCTGGGAACTGGGAAAGTCGTCACCTCTAAGGGCAAGGAGAAAATCAGGAATGCAAGCAGCAGAGGGCTCCTAGAGATCTCCAGCAAGGGCCCACACACAAGTGTTGAGCTCTACTTGGGCACAATGCCAAATCCAATACCTGCGTCCCCACCACTCCCCGGGGCCCAACCCAGTCGTTTGCTGAAGATAAGAGGACCAGGTATGCATCTGCACATCCAGATAAGGACCATATATAGAAGGAGAACGTTGTTTTTTCCAGAATGTTAAGAAGCACATTTCAAGGAGGGAAAAGGTTTCAAGGACACACAGGGGGTGGCCTAATGAGGCCAGAGCCTTTTCCTTTTTCAAAACCATAAGCTGAACTTCTCAAAGTCTAAGTAAATCTGGCCTGCTTGAGTTCACATTGCCTCTTACCTCACTTTCTGCTTCCCCTGGGGGATCCAAACACAGCATATTCATTATTATTTGATTAATAGGGAACAGCTTCCAACAGACAAAATTGGCTTGCTTAGCAGCCCCCTCCTCCAACAAGGCCTCAGGGACTCCTCCGAGGGTTCCTGCCACAGCAGGGGCCCTATCTCCACCCCCCACCAGCCGTAGGCCCTGCGGGGGTCGGGGGAGGGGGAGCAGGGGCGGGGTCTGTAGTTCTAGAACTTGCTTCGGCACCAGCTGGTGCTTACCGATGCCTGTCAGATGGAGCTGAACTACAGAGCGACCAGGAGGCCCACAGGTACATGCATCTAGAACTATCCACGCGCGTGCGCATCTAGAACCACCTGTTAAAACCACCACACACCAAAGCACGTTTTTATCAACTATCTGACTTCTGTACTGACCTGATTCTCATTTACTAGGGCGAAGCCTGCTTGTACTCATGCAGCCTCGTGCCCAACACCAGGCGGGGACCCTAAGTGAGAGATGAAATCGGAGGCCCCGCCATCAGCCCAGATCTCTCAAAATTTGACCCGACGCATAAATCGCCCCAGAGCAAGACGGGCCGGGCTGACTTCCTCAAGCCAACAGCAAGGGCCGGAGTATAAAGAAGGAGCACGCTAGGCAAGCTGGGAAGAGCTGGCCAAGGGCGGACAGTCGGCTTTCTGGAAGATACTCTCTCCTCAGAAGTTCCTTAGGAAAGCTCACTTCTCTCTGGAAGTAGCCCGGGAAGCAGTCAACACTGGGGTTGAAACCCGCTTCCTGCCCACTGTACCCACCTCTCTCCAGCAGCAGGCAGCTCCGGATTCATACCCCGGGCCCGAAGCCAGGCCCGGACCCGGGCCCAGCTCCACGGAGAACCCAAATGGGAGCACAGGGCAAGTGGCTCCCCTCACGCAGCCCCCCGCCTCCTGGCCCTGCAACCACTAAGCACTTGGGCAGCAGGAAGGCAGATGCCCTGCAGGGTCAGGAAGGGCATCCTGAGATTTCTATAGATCCTCCCAAGACTGTGAGGCTGGGAGAACCCAGAGGGAACTTCCCAGGATGTCGAGAGA